CTGCGTTGAGTAAAGTAGTGAAATAAACCTCAGGCCAACGTGAATAGGAGTCAATAATCACTAGGGCGTGGTATTTGTTTAGGAAGGGACCACAGTAATCGGCATGCACTCACTGCCAGGTTTCAGAAGACATTGGCCAAGGAGTCCACTTAGATGGTTTTGTGCGAGCTTTGTGGATGCAGTCAGTACATGATCTGGCCACTCGACGCAAATCACTGTTAAGCTCTGGCCACCAGCAAGTCAAACGTGCAAGTGATTTCATCTTCTCAATACCGAGATGTTCCGAATGCAAGTCACTCAGCACTGTGGGGTGTAAAGATGGAGGAATGATTATTCGGTCATTGAGACATAATATTCCATCACAAGTTACTGAGAGTTCTTCACGGCGTTTATAAAACTCTGGGAAGCGGCGCTTGGTGTCAGCTCGCCAACCATGTCGCACATAAGAAATAACTGCATGGTAGTTCTTCTTTGGCTCTCGGACTAGGTCGGATCGATGAACAGAAAGTGGTTGTATCAGTAAACAATCAGATGTACCAGGCTCCTCTGACAAGACATAACGCGATAAATAGTCCACGTGTTGAATCATATGAGCCTTTCGATGTTGAATGTGTCAAGAATAACCGGCTAATGTGACGCTCCATCGCTGTATCATGGCCGCTGATGAGTTTGCCAGGGATCGGTTGGGAATACAAATGAACTTCACTGCCTCGTGGTCCGATATAATTGTGAAATATGAGTCACATAAGTATTTTTTGCAATCGAGTAACAGCCCAGTATACTGCAAGAGACTCTCTATGCGTTTGGGAGTAACTACGTTCAGCATGAGTGAGTCTGCGAAAAGTGCCTAGAACTGGATGATCGTTCTGCTCCAACACCGCTGCAATGCCAACTGGTGATGCGTCTGTAATTACTGTCGAATGTGCTTTGGGTGAAAAAGCATGTAATACTGCATCAGTGAAAGGAAAACTTAGTGAGAGTGATTTCATGAATACGTGTTCATTGAACTGTTCGCAGTGAGACAAGTGTGATCAATGCTTCTGCTTTTGTGGCAAAATCTAGAATGAATCTAGAATAATGCTGAAGTGAACCAAGTAATGAACGAAGTTTTTCAGCTGACTTGGGAGAAGGTGCGTTGTAAAGAGAAGAAAAACGAGTAGGATCAGGACGGAAACCATTTTCATCAACAATAAAACCCAAACAGGAAAATTTTGGTGTAGAAAATGTACATTTATTTGCATTATTAGTAACATTATGGATGTTGAACCGTTTAAGCAGTAAGCACAGACGCTTATCGTGTAGTTCTTTGATTGAGGCATGAACGATAATGTCATCTTGGTAAGCTGAAACCCCATCCAAACCAAAAATAAGAGAATTCTCAACATTTTGAAATATAGCAGGTTAAACACTAAGATCAAATGGTAAAAAGGTATAACGAAATAGACTAAACGGAGTGTTCATTGTGGTCGGTGCACTAGAATTCTCATCAAGTGGTACCTGAAGAAATGCATCCTTTAAATCTAGTTTGGAAAAGAAATTTGATCCATGAAATTGATGGAGGATGTCTTCGGGTTCAGTGGTTTGAGTATTTGTTGACTGTGATGCGGTAATCCCCACAAATTCCGGGTGTTTTACCATCACGTTTCAACGAAATCACAATAGGGGTAGCCCAAACAGAATAATCCACAGGCGTTAATACACCCTTCTCAACTAAATCGTCCAAAACTTTCTTTACGGGTTCACGGAGACCCAATGGTATAATTCGACGTTTCAGAAATATTGGAGAACCATCCAATTCCAATTGAATTGGGGCCATTTTAGTTCCACCCTTATTGTTGGAGCATTTGAGAACCAACTGACGCAGTCGAGAATGTTGATCATCAGTAAATAATGAAAGAGATATTTCCATGCGTTTCATAGAATCGAGGCCAGTAATAGAAATGTTGGAATCAATAACAAGAAAGAAACAATTGGATGTGTGCTGTTCATCATCAGTAAGGAGTAGTTCACATGAACCCAAAACAGGAAGGTTATGACCAGTTATACCTTTAACCGAAATGTCAGTTGTGTTCAGACACACGTGGTTTCAAACGCTGAAGAACAGTCTTTGAACTAAACGAATTCACACCACCTGTGTTTATGATGAATGAATGCCGAAAACAATTGTTGACTGTGAAGGTATGAGTAATGTGTTGAGACTGGTTGGAACTGTTAATGGATAAAGCAAGAGACTTAAAATTGGTAGACAAGCATGAATCAGGGACTGAGTTCTGTGTCATACAGTTGTGTGCTTCGACAAACAGACTGGATGTGCCCAGACTTACCACACTTGTGGCACTTGGCATTGCGAAATTTACAAGTCAATCGAGAGTGTCGCCTACCACATGATTTGCAAGGGTTCCAATGGCGGATGTTATTATTTGCAGGTTGTGTGGACGTCGTACTGTGATTTAAAGCTTTGTGTTGACACTTTTGAACTGCCGCGTCTGTTGAGCTTCAAGCGCTGACCCACGATTGTGACTGAACAATACTTTCGGCTCCTCACGTGCAGCCACACTTACATCCTGATATTTTTCACAGATCACCTTTACAGTTTGAAATGTACAGTTTGGAATCAACAATAACTGCTGCTGTAGCTCAGAACAGTTAATTCCAGCAATGAGTTTATTACGGAGCTGAGTTTGAAGCTGATTTTTGAAATTACAGTGTGCAGCTTGAGTCTGCAACTGAAGAATGAAGTCTCGGACAGACTGATTAGGATCACAAGCAAGGCAATGGAATTTTGCTCGCTCAGTTGCTTCGAAGTTGACTGACTGGAAGTGTTTTAGTAACAGATCCTTGAGTTCTTCATACTTCAGTTGTATTGGTGACTCTGGGAATGCCAAATGTTTAATCAGCACATAAGCTTCCTTCCAAACAGCTGACAGAAAATGTGCTGTCTTCTTCTCGGCGTCCAGACTTTTGCGGGTGAGACACCAAATCTCAAAACGCTCCAAATAATCTTCTACATAGCGCGAGTTCGAATGAATATCGAGAATTTCCAAGTTCCAGGTGTCCATAATGAGATAAAAACCGGCCGCGACGCCAAATGTGGTAATCTGTATTTGGTATCAGGAATTGAACCGAAATAATCCGCGCAATTAAGCTCCAACCGAACTAGTACGCAGTATGGAATAGAACTCCAGAATATTCGAAGTCAGTTTTTTGTATTACGCGCCGAAATTGTACAAAGCAATCGATCATGTAAAGAAACAAGAATGTTCAATTTATACACAATAACCATCCCTTTATACACTCGCATCGCAGTTTTTCATCTGTTTCTTTCCGTTTATTGGTTTCTATTTAACGACCATCCAATGAAACAATTCAATATAATTGATAGTGCAGTTTGTACTTCTTGCTATGAATTCCCACTTATTATCATCATTACCTTTTTACTGACTGTCATATATTTAAATTCCGTCTAATCGGATGTACACCAAAGCAAAAGTGGAAAGATTTTTACACGGAAAATTCTATCTACACTAGATGAATATAGTACTTCTTTGACCTGACATTCCTTCCTCTTACACAACCATTTTCTAAGCAAAACACTTTTTACGCTTTGATCCGCCAGAAAGGTAGCCGTCTAGTACGGTTCGCTGAAGCGGCTGCCATTCGACGTTACAAACCCAACTTATGCAAACAGACCGCATTTGTGGCTAGCCTCGCGCTGCCCCCGCTGGTAGATGTGTCACTGTCCTCCTCCCTCTCCCTCCCCCCACCCACCCCAGCAGTGATTCCGCTCCCT